TTTAAGCCAAAGGAACAGAGCTGGCTGCTCTACAAATGGATCCGAGTCATCATCTTACCCTCGCTAAAAACATGAAGGCAGCTTCTCAGAACTCTTGTCAGTAGCAATTGTAAACTTATTGGAATGAGACATGCTTTACATGCGTGCAGACAGTTCAACTACATTTCCAGTAATTACCTTCTATCATGAGAACAGGCTTGATCAAATTTTTACAAGGAGCTATTGGAATCGCCAGCAGGGCTATGTCGTCTTTTTCCAGAGCTTCCCTGGGGTTTCTGAATATACTGCCTGGCCACCAGGCCACAGTCGGCTCATTCTCGAGGGCCGGGGAGGAATACGCCCTTACCTCCCCACACCTTCCTCCACACTGACCCCGGCTTCTCTCTCCTCTGCTTCCCTAGGAGTCTGTTCGTTGCTTAACGGTGGAGGCTCTGCCCTGAACTCCAGCTAGTCGTCTGTCTCTTGTACTTGAACTCAAGGGTGAGGACTGTCCCATCCTCCAGACCACCCAAGCACAGGGCCACACATGTTGCAACCACGCAATGCATTTCAACTCTGCTGGTGACACCATTGCAACTAAGTAACAGGCCACGTATCATATCCTGACCACCCTGCACTGCAATTTGTGGGTTCAGTTACAACACTCAGATGATAAATAATCCATTCAAGTACATTTGCTTTCTCTCTCCCCCATAATGCAAGTCACTCTTGGGGGAAAAAAACCCAAACAAACTAACGTGAGGTATTCTGTTTTATAGCTAGAGGCAAGCTGGGCTAGCTCTTGTTAAGTCATCAACTAATACTACCCCTCAATTTTAATATTCAAATTTAAACCATTAAACAAAACCACCTGCCAATGTGAAAGAAGCACGAGGGAGGAGGCAGAAAAAAGGAAGTGATGAGGATTTTCACACACAGAATAACCGCATCGTTCCCCTGCTGCATTCGAAGTAATTCACTCACTGTCAATTCTCCACGAAGCAGGCAAAATCCGACCCTGTTTAATACCTAGTCTGCAGACTAGAAGGAGGATTTCGTGGCCTTACCAAAATCTACAGATCTTGGGGCTGTAGGTGATTTTTATTTGGCCTTTTGTGACTTTATTCTTTTCCGTCTACATGGACCACTGAAAATTCATTTTACACCAGTCTCTCTATACATCTCGGGTTCTGAGACTCGAAGGAGCGCTCACCGAGGACAAGGAGCTATAAAAACATAATGCATTATTTATAGATGTCTTTTAAAAGGAAAGTTCCCTTTAAAAATCACGAAAGGGGTGCGTGGGTGGCTCAGTCGGTTAAGCGTCTGACTTTGGCTGAGGTCATGATCTCGTGGTTAGTGGGTTCGAGTCCCATGTCAGGCTCTGTGCTGACAGCTCGGAGCCTGGAGCCTGCTTTGGATTCTGTGTCTCCCTCCCTCTCTGCCCCTCTCCCACTCACGCTCTGTCTCTGTCTCAAAAATAAATAAACATTAAAAAAAATTTAAAAAACATCGAGAGATACTGAGTTTCAGTTTCTCACATGATGGACCATCATGTGGGCAAGACTGGCCCCTAGTTAAGAGATCTGCTCACAAAATTGACATTGAATAACCAACCCTTAAAAAATTGTGGAGCATTATAGTATAGGACACTTTTAGAAGTCCTAGTCTAAAATCCTACTTATTAGAGAAAAGCCTTAAAAGCATACTGAAAAACGAGAGAAAATTTAATGAAAGGCAAGAGCTACCAACCACACTGAGACACCTTGCGAAGTCCTGCCTTTAACTTCCAAACTATCTTAGTGAACAAGAAGGGCGCTTTTGTGGGTATGTAACAGCGGACAGGCACGGATGCGGGAGCTAAGATTTAGTTGTAAACATAATAGGCCACAGATCACTGAAGAAGCCACAAATGCCCGTGGCAAACACATTTTTTTTCTCTTAAACTCATCTTTGAGCACGTTTCCTGAGACCCCTCCCAAGTACTGTGTCCTCCTCTAGTGGCCAGGAAAACATGGGAACCAGGCATTTTTAAACCGAGGGATTCAATACAGGGAACTGGCCACGTGGTTGTTAAGATGCTACTTCAACAAAGGAGCTCTCCGGTAACCCCGTGACACACAACTGAAGGAAGCAGCCACTGCTGCCAGGGATGGGGGCAGCGGGAAGGAAGAGGGGATGTCGCTTCAACTTTGAAGGTCAGAGGAAGGGTCCCCACAAACCTGGCCTGAGCTTCTGAGGAGGGCGCTGCCTGCCCGGCAGGTGCGGACGCAGAACTGGGGCAGGACCCGCTGGCCAGACATCTGAGGAGGGAGTGAGCAGGTGCTGGGATGGTCCGGACTGGGGCTCCGCAGACAAGATGCCAGAAAGCTGCCGTGTGGTACAGGAAGCAGGCAGCCAGAAGGCGCAGCGTGGGCTATTCTAGCCGGGGGCTGACGGGATGGGAAAACGGCGAGCAAACCCCTCTTTTCTCCTCCCCAGTCCCCTCAGGTCTCTCCCATCAGCCGGTGGGACACAGGAGAGTTTTCCCAATGGGGAGATCTGAGCTAATTTAGGTCCAGGGGACACACAAGTCGCAAGGGACAGCTGGAACTCACAGGAGAGGGGACACTGGAGGAAGAGGAGGGTCTGGCGAACGGTCCTTTAGAGCCCCAGCCCCACATCATGGAGCAGAGACACAGGGAAGGCGGTGCAGTAACAGGTAACTAATCTACACAATCCAGGACTGAGTATTTTAACTCAGTTAACAAGAGTTAACTTAGTTAACTTAGTTAACTTAGTAACTTAGTTAACAAGAGTATTTTCTTGAGGGAAGTATGTAATATACATATACATAAGTATATACATATATGTAATATAATACATATAATATATACGTATATATACATATACATACATACATATATGCATATACATATATCATATACACATATAATATACATATGTATATATACATATATATACACACACACATACATATATATACATATATATATATATGTTTTAAAGGGTACAGTTCAATGGCATTAAGCACATTCATATTGTATATAACCACTACCACTATCACCAGAAACTTTTCATCTTCCCAAACTAAAACCGTCCCCATTAAACACTACTCCTCATTCCCCCCCCCTCCCCCGGCAACAACCATTCTACTTTATTGAGGGGCAGAGGGAGAAAGAATCTCAAGCAGGCTTCACGGTCAGCACGGAGCCCAATGTGGGGCTCTGTCCCACGACCCTGGGATCATGACCTGAGCCAAAATCCAGAGTCAGACGCTCAACCAACTGAGACACCCAGGCCCTACCATTCTACCTTCTCTATGAATAGGACTACTCTAGGTTTCTCGTATAGATGGAATCCGGTCCTTTTGTGCCTGGCTTATTGCACTTGGCAGAATGTCAAGGTTCGCCCATATTGGGGGGTCAGAATTTCCTTAGTTTTTAAGACTGAATAGTATTCCGTTCTACATACAGACGACTTAGGCTTATCCATTCATCTGTTGATGGACGCCTGGTGAACAGTGATCCCCCCGCTTTGGCTACTATGAATAATATTATGAACACTGGTGTTTAAGTATCTGTTTGGGTCCCTGCTTTCAATTGTTATTTTGGCATGCACCTAGAGGTAGGGTCAAACTGTAGATCTATGTCTTAACTTTTTGAGAAGCTGCCTAGCCATTTTCCACAGCAGAGGGTCCCATAGTTTTCTCGTCTAAAACCCTCAAAAGATTAAGATGTGGAGTTTTTTAAAAACACTGTCAGATGCACAATTTGTAATTACACCAATAAATGTGGCAACTCACCTCTCATTCATAAATACAAAATTTTATTTGCACTTCATTAGTGTAGAAAGACCACAATGCTTTTCATATCACAACACTCAAGACACGCCAAGTTATTCAAATACATAATTACTTATTTACCTTGACTAAACAAAACAGTGCAGTTTAATAAAAGATATACCAAAGGTAGAGTTCACAAATCCATTATCAGACCAAAAAAAAAAAAAAA